CAGCACTCTTTTTACAAATCTTTTGAATTGAGGTCTTTTGTAATTTGTATTACTTAATTATGGTCTCAATTGAAGAAATAAAATCATGAGGGCACTGTTCGATTAAAGAAGTGCGTATCCGTGCCATCGAGTCGGGTCTCTTGCACAGTAGCCCCCGGGAGCCCATTGGTTCAGCCACTGTTCAGTCTCCTGTTCGCTGTCCCTCTGGCTCCCCAAGCAGGGTGTCCTTCTCCCGGGACAGGACGCTCCTGCCATGTTCAGAGCATGGCGTCTCACTCGCCCGGCCTCTAGGGGAGCAGTCTGGCTGTACTTCCAAGACAGATTTGGTGTTTTTTTGGCAGTCAATGATACGTTTAATATCAGCACCAAAGTTCAAATGCTTCGATTCTTCTTAGATCTTTGTGATTCAGCGTCCAGCTTTCACATGCATGAGAAGCAGCCAAAGATACCCTGGGCTTGGGCCAGCCTCATCTCAGTTCTCCAAGTAAGGTCTTATGGGGAAGATTTCAATGAATATTAACACAAACGGGAAATATGCTACTAGGGCACGAAAGGAACAAGGTAGTCTTTCCCTTTTTATAGAAAGCTCTCCACACAGTGGAGAACTTTTCATTGCAAAGGCCAGATCAACGTATGATGATTCAATATGGGGACTGCAACAAGACTTAATCTTGGAACAGGTATTGCGAGGGGTTTGGGAAGAGCCATTCTAGCTCTGACGACGTGAAAGTGAGTTATGTTGGGAAACTCAGCTCTTTGCTTTATCTAATGTTGGGGCTTGTGTGGCAAGGTTGTTAACAATTACTGTAAGCATTTTCCCATAGCTGGAATATTGGTATTAGTTTTCTTTATATGATGAAAAGTGTGGACATCTGAAGCTCTTCACCATTGGGGTTAATGAAAGAATGCACTAATAACACTAACATAATAGGTTTTGTCACCAGTGATCGGCTTTGATATATATTTACTGGTCTCCCAAAAGAATGCCAATCATATAATATTCATCACAGTAATACAATTAGAAGTGTAATTTCTGTGAATATTGAAGCAAAGTAAAACTAAATAATCCTTAATCATACCTTTGAATGAAGTCCACAGACTGCTGGGTTAAAATAAATCATCTAGATAGAGAAAGTAGTCATTTTTATTTCTATCTTCCGGACAGTTTAGAGAATTTTGAAGAGGCTCTGTGGGAATGTTTTGAGGTAATGTTAATAAAGGAAAGGAAGAAGCTTACTCAACAGAAAGGACATGGAGGGAAACAAGGACAAGCTCGTGAGAAACCCAGGCAGCAAGGCGTCGAATGCACTCAGGTGATGGGAGCCTGACAGCTAGACCCACAACCAGTGAGAGAGAGGGCTGCTGACCAGACCAGGAGCCAGGCTGCAAAGGTCAGTCCGGATCCTCGCAGCTATTAAGAACCTTATTTGTAAGTGTAAGAGCAGACCAAAATGCTCACACTCAAGATATAGTCTCTCAAAGTGTTTGCTCAAAGGGCCTTAAAACATCTCCAGCCCACTCTCGCAAAGGAACAATGACTGAGAGTTAATAACTGCTCAATAAGCTCAGGGAGCAAAGATGATCTTTCTAGTTTCAAAGGTTTTTTCCTACAAAAATATCAAGTTGCTTTTAAAATATAAAACTAGTGAACAACCAAATGAAAATAAAAATGTTAGGCTCCGTAAGGACCAATTTCCCCCCAAATTCCCCAACCTCTAACAGACTAATATGACTGCATATTTAATACAGAAGATACAGGAATCCCTCTACAACTGCCTCAATGTTTCAGAATTTTTCATTTCTTTATCCCGAGTCACAGTTCTTAGGATCTCCCTCTAACGTCATAGCAAACATAAGTGTATATAACAGCAGAATCCTACAATATAAACATCCTTGTTAATCCTAATTGGAAGTAATTAAGACAACTCTGAAAACTAGTCATCCATAAACACGCTGTGGTTTTCATCTACCCACAGATCGCAGCATGTGAGGTACATAGTTTATAAAACAATGATGCTAATTTGGTGCTACTAGTTAATCCAGCTGCTAATTACTAATTTTCCATAGAAAATTCAAAATAAAAAAGCACGATGAAACATTTAACTTTCCCCTAGTTCTTAAATGCTTCCCCCCACCCCCACTATTATCATGATCCCAATTCTACCTTACAAATCTGGCTAGACTAGAGTATGCTCACTGGTACAGATAGCAACTGGAAACACAGGGAATCCAGGACAGATGACCCCTCCAGGACCAGTGGTAAGATTGGCGATCCTGGAGAGTGGAGGGAATGTGGGCTAGAAAGGGGGAACCAATTACAAGAATCTACGTATAGCTTCCTCCCTGGGGGATGGACAGCAAAGAAGAGGGCTGGGGGGAGAGGGCGGGCAGTGTAACATATGACAAAATAATAGCAATTTATGAATTATGAAGGGTTCATGAGGGAGGGGGGAGGGGGGAGGGAAGAAGAAAAATGAGGAGCCGATATTAAGGGCTCAAGTAGAAGACAAAGGTTTTGAAAATGATGATGGCAACAAATGTACTTATGTGCTTGACACAATGGATGTATGTATGGATTGTGGTAAGAATTGTACGAGCCCCCAATAAAATAATTTTTTTTTAAAAAAGCAATCCACAAAAAAATTTTGAACAGCAGTGTTTGGCACTCAAGTACTGAACAAATCCATCTTTCTTCTCAAACACTGTTCTTGTAGACTAAAAAGCCCTGTCAAACTCAACTGTGAATATCCTGGTAAACCCTGCTGGAAGTCATCTTCACCGGCCACAGTGTCACTATAGGGCTGCTATGTGTCAGAACTGGCTGGATAGCAGTGACCCTTTTTGTGAAGTATCTCTGACCCCTTCCTCCAGGTCATCCACACAATACGTATGTGAGTATGATACAAATATCGCAAGAAGCCATGTAACTGAGCTATCCCATAGTAAGCCTTACACAGAAATGTCATGCATTTCCTGACACTCCCACCATTGGACCAGGCAAATTACCCCGACAGTTAGAACTTACATTGTACATCAGTCTCTTAGTTTCTAACACATACTACAAAAATAGGTTTAAAACAAAGGAAGTTTTTTAAAAAAAAACTCGAGTTTTTTGCTCTGGTTTAGGTAAATCTAAGAAACAATTCTGTAACTCTAATGCCTTGAGGGTTTTGTTATTATAAGCCTTACCTTATAAGGAAGAAGGTGTGTTTTGTTGTTGTTGTTGTTTTTTAGTTTATTGTTTACAAAGCTTTAAAGTAATCACCACATAATTTTAGTAACGACAATTAACATTTCCATTCAAAAATGAATAGAAAATTTAAGATCTGGGTAAGAAAATAATTATTTCAACATCTACTTCTGGCATGAAAGAGTTTTTTAAAAGACTGGTCACACATTTTATACTGTGTCACCTTTTTATTATTTTTACACATTGTCTTACTAACATTTACTTACACACTCTGCCCTATAAAGTTCTCAACTGTACATTTTTTTAGAGTTACTATTATCAATTTTGATCTCAGAGAGATCATTCTTTCCAAGAACACAATAGTCATGGCAAATATTCTTTATTAACTGAGCTAAACTGCTGTTTAGTTTTAAGATGGCTTCATGAGATAGTTTCAGATCGAGGCGTAACAACTCTTCTTAGGTAAAATGTTCAAGGGCAGTAAGTCTTGTTTCTACGAGAGCTTGCAGTTCTGCTCTCCGAAAGTCCTCCTTCTTACCAGGGTCTTTGATCAAAAGGTTCAGTCCTGGTAGTCGAGCACCACTCACTTCTGGTCTCCCGGCAAAGAACATGAGGCAATTAGATCTGCAGTTGGCACGGAGGATTTATTTGAATGCAAACCACAACTCAAAACCCAAATATCCTATTATGGTTTCCATTTCATTTATCATAAATAAAGAGCCTTCTTTCAGAAAGACTTCAGAGGAAAAGGCGAGAAACAAGTGAGGGTGCAATGCTGTACTGCTCTTCACCAACGTGATGAGTCCCACTCATGATGAGAACGTACGTGCTCTGCACTAGTGATGACGAATTGTGCTTTCCTTACTTGGTGTTTGAAGTAAATGGAGGCTGCTAGGAGATAGGTAAAGAACAGAGTTTTTCCTCTCTCAAAGTTTACTGGTCCCTAATAAAGACTGTAACTAACACAGTGGTCCCATGGTTATAATGAGTGAGATTCTGCCAGCTCCCATTCCGACACAATGGATTCCAGCACAATATACTTACTTAGCCTCATGTAGAATGAGCTATTTAGAATGTGAGGTGTTTCATGTGCACTTCTGCACACCAAGAGGTACAAAGATCCTTGAGCTCTTAAGATCCCATTAAATCTTAGGGGGCCCCAAACACACAGGATATCTCTTTGGCTCCCAGAATGAGGTTTTCCCATTAGTCACCTAAGTGGTTCAGTCAGAGAAAAAAAAATTTCCATCCAACATCTTTATAACCAGTATTTCTAAGGGATTCACCAGGAAAAATGTTGATAAAAGTCAACAAAGAAACAGAAACTCTAAGTAGATCCTTCTTACTTTTAATAATTCTCATTTCTCTTTTAAATAACCATATTCCTATCCTATGGCTCTCAGTAAGATGTTCTAAATAAGCCTAACCAAGTAAATTGTCTGTTCTATATTTGTTCTTACTAAAATGATTAATTCTAATTAGTTATTCAAATACACGTTAAACTATACAAGTGAAAACAAAGCATACCTTGAAGTGGATAAGATGACCAATGGAAATATAACACATTTCGAACGTGGAATAAAAAAAGACCTTCACGGAACCAAAATGAACGTTAGATGTTCTTGGTGGCAGGAGGTGCAGAGAGCATAAACTTTCTGAGAACTGCAATGTTAACGTTAAGTATTCTGGTAGAATGATGGCTGAAACATATGCGCTGGACTAGTCTTTAATGAGGATAGGATAGGTACCATTTCTCTCTTTCCTAATTTAATTTTTTCCCCCAATGCTAGAACATCAGATGAGAGCCTACCTGACATTTTGGAGAATTTGCTGTGCTGGGATTGATATTCCGCATTGCCTAAGAGTAAAAAATAAGACGGATAAAAATTACTTGAAGCCACATGGTTTGGCTGTGCAGGCTGACTTACAAATTGCACCCAGTCACATCGCCATAGCACAGATTCCCAAGCCAGCCCAGGGAAGCAGCAGACTGAGGGAGACAGAGTCAACGGAGTCACCACAGAGCAAAACTGGGCCCTCAGAAGTCTGAGCAGCACTGCGGATAGGACAGCAAGGTTTTAAGCATCCGACCTAAAATGCAATTTGATACTGGTCAGGTAGGTTCTTTGCTTCCGAGTATCAATTAGAGGAAGCAGGAAAAACACATCGGATGTCTCCACGATGAGAGAAATTACTAACAGAAGAAGCTCACGGGAAAACAAAAGGCCTGAGATGTCCTGAATTTATACTGATTGCTAAAACACAAAATGAAATCTTTGAGGAAATAGACTATTAGTATAAAGTAGGAGCAGCTCTTTCAATTCAATACAGGAAAAAGGCAACATAGTAGGCAGTACAGAAGAAACAAAGCAAGAAGTTACTTTTACCGGAAGTAAAGCTATTCTGCCCAGGGCCCATCACCCAGAGTAAAAGTGAGAATAAGAATTCTTTAAAAGGAAGAAGAGCTTACAACAGCAACTTTTTGCCCACCAAAACAAACAAAAAACACCAGGCTGATCTATGGCATACAACACAATGACAAATGGCTTATAACTAGACTTTTAAAATGATCTTAAAAACAGCAGGAATGTGGCTTTCCTTCTTTTAGTAATCATGGAACTCCCCCCATATGCGAGTTCCTTGATTTTAAAGTCTTCATTCATACATGAAGCTATGGACTGTATTTATTTAAAGCATTTGGTATTCAGCAACAAACAGCAAAATGAAGAGCAAACGAAGTTTTGGAAAACATACGGCTAATAGCTACACAATGTTATTCTTGAGGGTGATGCCTTTAGTAAAACAGCCTTATACAAGTAAAAATGTTTCCCTTTACTGTCTTTTGTTAGAAAGTCGGTTAGAAGCACAGTAAACCATGGAATATCCTTTATTCCCCCGTCTTCTTAATGGCAGATGAAGAAACCCTGCTTTTCAGAGTGCTTTCCTAACAGATGTTGGCACAAGCTCCTTTGCTGCTGCCAGGGCTCACTGTGGGTGCCGACCACACCAGAGTCACATTGACGCATTACTGACAGGGCACAGATGAGTCTCTCTGCGACTCCACGGCTTGGTCTAGTTTACTAGTTCCTCAAATACCAAATCGGAGATCAAACATGGTATCAGTTTGTGTCTTTCTGCAGACACTCAAGTGACCCTTTTTAAATATACCCCTGTGTCCTGGTAACAGAAACGTAGGCTGGTAACAAAAAGTGTCGGTCTTTCATAGCTGTCCAAGTGTGCCATGCTCTCTACAGCACGTAAGGGAAGAACAACTGAATTTATGAGGTGTGCAAAGCATGTATCAATCAAAGTTTTTGGTTTTGTTTTTTAAGATAAGGGGTTTTTCCATCATCTGTAAAACCATTTTGCGTATATGGATGCTGGTTTTAAGTTGATAGACCATCTATGGAAATCAAAAACACAAAAACCAAGAAACAATCGGTAGTTGTTTATATCCAGGAAAGAGGAAAAGGCTATTTTATTTTCACGGTTTAAATTTGGAATAATATGCCTCGTTTTATCACTTCTCAGGAAATTTTTATATTGAAATTTAAAAAATAGGGTAATAAGACCGTAACTCCAGCTTTTGAACGATATTTTAATACTCTGAAATAATAAAACTACAATCTCAAGTTATGAAGGGATTACCTGGTTCTTGAGCAACATAAAGACCAACAGTACTTTCTGGAAGAAAACTGATGGAAATGGTTATAAAGCTCTCGAATGTTCACTACACCTTTCCCAAGGGGAAAAGACCCGTAAGCAGGTCATCTGAAGGTACTTTTGGGGTCTCTGCAGCTTGAGATAATAACAACACGTTATGTTTTAAGTCCCTTAGATGCAGCAATACTCAAAGATACTACACACTAAGTAAAATAATCTACTTAAAGCAAAATATGTTTTCCTCAGAAATGACATCTTTGGGAGAAATCCGCATAAAATAGCCATCTACGATTCCATGTGCATTTGAGAAAGTATCCTTATTCCTTTGGTTCCGGGTAAAAAGAAGACCACGCTCTCTTTCTGATACACATTCACTGGTTCCGTCCCTCGGAGAACAGTCCGTGAAGGAACTACGGCTTTAGAGATGAAATTCCCCTTTCAGATCACACATGCTAAAAGGAAACATAATTCCCAGAAGTGGAAGGCGGGTGTCTAACCTGGGGCCTCACCTGCCGAAGCAGTTCTTGCTGCTTGAGCCGCAGCCGCTCTTTCTCCATCTGCAGCTGTTGCAGGCGCATCTGCTGCTGCTGGTTGGAATGGCTGCCGCCCAGAACGCCTCCCTGTGGGCTCTGGGGGGCCAGCGGTGGAGGCTGCTTCACAGGAGCACTCTGACTGATTCTCTGGTTGATGGCTGAAACGAGACAAGAGAGTTGTCCTAAAAAAACTATTTCGTTAAGATCAAGGCTCAACTTAGGTATTCGAAACCATGAAAGGGGGTGCAATGGCGCTTTGTTTGTAATAAAAGACCGAAACTCACCCAAACCTGCTGCCACCGAGTCGGCCCGACTCATGGTGACTGTAGACAGGGTTTTGGAGGGGGTTAACTCTTTACGGGAGCAGAACGGAAAGCGACTTAAAAGTCCACAAGTATTAAAACAACAATGAAATGTCATCCAATCACCGGCCCGGAGTTGGTTCTGACTCACAGGGACCCGGTGGGACATAGTAGAACTGCTCCCTAGGGTCTCCAAGACTGCAGATCTTTACAGGAGCAGACAGCCTCGTCCGTCTTCTGTGGAACAGCTAGCTAGTGGATGCAAACGGCTGACCAATGCAAAACCCATTACAGTACTTAGGCTCCCAGTAAGATAATATGTACACTAATGTTACAGTTGTCGTCATACGGAATGCTAGACCACCTGGGGGTGAGGGTGGGGGTGGGGGTGAGGGTGTTGGTGGTGTAACTCAGAGATGCAACGAGATAGACCCACCTTTAAAATGTTTAAGGAAGGATTGGATGGGGAAGCAAAGTGCTGAAGAAAGTATGAAAAAGGGAAATAAATATTGCATATGACAGACTATGAATTGAAGATATCCAAGATGCATCTGCGGGAGAAAGATGAGGTTTTCTACTCCCATAAGGAGTTCCCGTCTCAACAACCCACACGATGGCTCTGTCCTGCTCCACAGCGTCATTTTGAATCAGAATCGATTTTACGGCTAGGATTTGGGAGATGCATCGAACTTTAGCTGGCGCGGGCGGCTCTTGGGCTGAGCATGACTAACAGACTGCATTAAAACTTTTTTGCAACTTTTGAATTCGGAATGCTGTAAACATGCATTACTTATTACAAAAATAAGATAAATGTAATTTAAACTACACTCTAAAATGAAAATAATGTCAAAGCACTCTGAACAGTAAAACCCATAAAACTAACCAATCCTTTACACACATAGCCCTAATAAAACAAATATAGCAACATGTTCTCATGCCTGCCCAAGAGAACCAAGTAAGTCTGCAAACACCTGGATGGCCCAGACTCATCTCTTCCACCAGTGCACCCTCAGCCACAGCCCAAGGGACGCTCTAGTTTTGTCGCCGCTGTGACACCTCTCATATACCATGGTTAGACATGGGCAGGATTCTTAAACTAGTGAAGTTCTGCCAATCAAACCATGGATTGCAGCAACCTTGGTAAAAGTTTCGAGCTCTTGTTTCTCATTGTAGTATAAGATCCCTTTAAAATTTATCCTGGTATATGGCACGAATGAATGCAATTTCATATGACTGAGTATGCATTACATATTATACCCTCTCATCTCTCTCTCCCCACCCCACCCCCTCTCTTTCTACTTTCCATGGTTTATTAAAATACACCATCATCCCACCAACCCTGTCTTCTTGGTTATCTTCTTTTAATATTTTATCTGGCAGGCAAGTGAAAGGATGTCAGATGTGACTCACTGCTCAATCATGATCAAAAGTCATGTTAATCTCTTACATAGCTAACGAGGCAACCTCACATAAGAAACTTACTTAGACTGTATTTTAATTGCCAACATGATTAGATGCGTAAGTGGAAGGCACAATGGTATGATATAGAAAACATCCCAACTAGGTGAACTGCCACAATGCAATGGAAAAGTACACTGCAAGCTTCCAATCAGGGTCTAATGCTAAGACAGAAGCCCCCACAAAGAAGCAAGTTCTGAATTGGTGGGTATTGTCTGTTTTCAAAGTTCTGCGTTACCCGATGACTCAAAACCACAGAAAGGGGAAAATGAGATCCCAAAGGATGGAGGAAGAACCAGCCTCGAATGATGGAAAACAAAAATAGGTATAAAAGATGCACCAGTATAAACAAGTCAGTGTGGACCATCATGTGGAGCACTCTTCGTTGTGTGTGCCTAACTGCTGTACCTCGGATAGAAGCAGTGCTGCAAGGGCTCTGCACAAAGAGTGCTCTTAAATGACAGATCCGCACAAGCCTGGGTTTCATGTCCCCAGAAGCATCCTCTTCTTTACCTTTTTCAGATCCTAAGTACACAAAGCCCATAGCAGCGCCCACATGGGGTGGAGCAGAGACCTCCCAAGCAGGCAAGACACAAAACAGGCTTTGTTTCGGGGTGGGGGGCGGTGGGGGCCGGGCCGCCATAGGAGAAATGAACAGCCATACCCACCTCTTCCTCCCCGGGAGCAGCTACTGAGCCTCCATTGTTTCCAGTTGTAATATGTTTGCTAAAGGCAAATTATAATTTGCCATATTTTAGAATTCAGAGCCAGTGCTGCGTGGACTATAAAAGCAGCAACTGTTTCAAGTTTTATTCAACAAATCAGTCCTGACAGCTTTATGGTAGGAAACCAGCAACTCAGCAATTGCTGAGAAGTAAGAGACCACCTTCTCAGAGAAAAGAAAGAGGGTCTTTACTATCCGCTCCCCCACCTTCCTTCCAAGTTTCATTCTGAACATCTGCACCTCTAAGCTTTGGATAATTTATAAACTTAGATAATTTTTGACCTTGAAAATGTAGAACATTACAAAATATCACAGACCTAAACCAAACTTTGTGGTAACTTAAAAAATTCAATTCTAGTAACACTACATGTAATTTTAAAACTGAAAACAAGCTTTTCACTTTTAAAGCATTAGCTTACATCAAATCTCTTACAAGAACACTTCCTTCTGATAGTTTATTACGTCTCAGACATTGGCGTTTATATACTACTGTGATTATGGCCTTAATTTGTTTATATAACATTTAGGCACAAAATTTATGGCTTTCCCCTATACCTACAAGTACAGTCAAGACTATGAAATATTAGACTGTGTTAAATTAAATGTATGTTTTTCTAAACACACAGGCTCACAGACCAACTGAGATTCTTAAGAGCTGTAAAATTACACACACACACACACACACACACACTGCTAGCTCTGCTAAGCATCTACTACGTAACCTGCTGTCTGGACTCATAGCAAGCCCCTGCCACAACGGGTTTTTTTCTAGACTGTAATCTTTATAGAACAGATCCTCCTATCTTCTCCCCTAAGGATCACTGGATAGGTACTAACAACTACAAGCTTTAATCTACAAACAAAATTTGCGATTAACTTACTATGGGGCATAGTATAGACAAGTTCTGACACTGTCTTAGTCTCATTCATGATGTTCCTTCAAAAAGAAGGTCCAATCAAGACAGTAGCCTCTGCTTCAGTCATCTGTGAGCCAGAGGGTCATTATGAGCTGGAATCAACGGAGTGGGAGTGAGAAGAATATGCCACATTTCATTTATCCATTCATTGACTCATACACAGGTTGCTCTCATTTGGGGGCTACTGTGAACAATGCTGATGCCAATATCCATATTAGAGATTTTTACCTGAGTATGACTTTAATTATTTCGAGTGTATCTTGGTTCATCCTCTAACACTGGCATATCTACCAGGGGTGCTAGCTAATAACTGAATGGCTGCATGTTCGTGTTCACCCAGAGACCTCAGAAGAAAGGCTTGCTGAGCAACGAAAAGCCTGGCTTCACCAGGACTCAGGATGAACTCAATGGCAACTGGCTGGGCTCTACCGTCAGGGAGCTCTCGGAGTTCTTCGTACTTCTCTCCCTTCCAAGGCACCACCTTCTGTCCTCTCAAGACTGAGTGAAGACATTTAAACATCTTTCAATTGTTCACAGATATTAATAACAAATATCATTTAAGTTCCTTTGATTTCTCCCCCCTATCACTACGTTTTAATACACTGCTAATCTGCTTAAAAATCTGAAAAGATGTGCATCAGGGTTGTTGCCTCTCACCATTTAGGCAGTCGGGTTATGAATCTCTGACTGATGTACAGCCTGTAACTATGAACCAACTTGTTCACAATCCAGGGACTGCCTGTACTACTCACTGTGCGTGCTCAGCAAAGAATGTGAGGAATGACTACGTGAAGAAGGGTGCAACACTAGGCTAAGACGACAATTCACCAACAACCCGTGATGTGCCAAAGATCATTTTGTCTGTCTGAAAGTGAAGACTTGAAGCACGAAGCGATCAAGATCAAGAACTACAGCTGTCACTTTGGATGACACCTCAATAGAGAACACAAATCCTCACTGATGGGCCAGTAAATATTATGATCAGAGAAAACCTAAAAGTTGTCAAGGATTTCATTTTGCTCACGATCAACATCCATGGAAGCAGCATTCAAGAAATCAAATGGAAAAAAAAATCAAATGACTGCACTGGGCAAATCAAAGATTTGTCATTTTGAAGACTTAAGTTATGCCAAATCCAACCTCATAAGCCGAACGCTGCACGATGAACAAGGAAGGCAGGAGGCGAACAATGTTTTAGGATTACGATGTTGGTGGAGAACACCAAATGAACCCTGGGCTGCCAGGAGGATGAACAAAAATCGACCTTAGAAGATGTACAGCCAGAATCTCGCTCCCTAGAGACGAGGCGAGTGCCATTCCACCTCGTGTACTCTGGACAAGTTATCAGGAGCATGCTTGGTAGAGGGTTCAATGAAAAAAGACAAATGGCACAGCGTCCACAACCATGCGCTGAAATGCGGCAGCTACGGGGAGGGTGGCCCGGGCCTTGGCCGTGTTCTCATCAGCTGTACCAAGGTTGTGAGGGATCGGCAATGACTCCACAGCACTGAGCAATCGGCCAAACATTTTTCAAAAATTTCAAAACCCAGCAGAACATTTTCTCCTCAACACCTCATTAAGCAGTCTGGGGCAGGACAAACTGAAAGAGGTGAGGAGGAGGAGAAGGAAGAAGATGTTCTAACTAGCTTTCCGTGCTCTGTATCCTTGTTTTAAAATCTAGTTTAGAAAAAATGTACAGATATCAAGCGACTGCTTTTAAGAGAAGGCAAATTAAATTTTAAAATATACCTGCTGCT